AACGGCCATTCCTAGAAATGACAGTAGCAACCTTATTTCCAATTTTCGTCTTATTATTAGACTGGAAACTAAGTTTTGCAACTGGTTTCATAACTTCAATCTCATTCAACATGGCGCACTCAAACTTTGGCATTATGTAGAAGGCAATGTGAGCTACAACCGAGCACAAATTGTTTAAATTTTGAACACAAAATAGAAAAGTTTTAGGCGTTTTTTGCAATCTAGTGAAATTTGGGAATGGGGTTTCAAGCTAAAATGAAGCCCTTGGCAGCCTAGACCATGCGCAGTAATCCGGATTCGTCTACAAATTATTGCTGGAGGTTGACTCCTTTAGCCTAGTAAGAAAGAAACAAAATTCAGTGGCATGTCGAGATTTGGCGTCCTCATAAAGTCGATGTACGCAAGAGCTGCTATGAACAACCGTCAATGACTAAAGAGTCCGAAGCTCAAATTCCACCGAGACCCTACATGGTAAGGTTATTTGACCTGCCAAACGCGAATATCACATCCATTTGTTAAATCAACGCCTTCTTCCTTGTTTAGGGTGAGACCCCATATCGTACACTTACAGTAATCCCCCAAAAAAGCCCTTATCACGCAATTTCACTATCGTTTTCGTGATCAGCATGTCGGATAACACCCCTATGCCAAGTTTCAGCCAAATCCGTCAAACTTTGAATTTTTCCCCTTCATACCATGCACCTACCGTAATCCTCACTGCGACGTCAGAATTCGGTAGGACAGCAGCAGCGCTTGTAGCTTACGTAACAGCCAACGCAGTAGCAAAATTTGAGTGCGCATGTTGAGTGAGGGGGAAGTTATGAGACCAGTTGCAAAACTTAGTTTCCAGCCTAATAGTATGACCGCACCTTCAGGCAAAATTCTTAAGAAATTTGTAAAGGAACGCCTACTCGACTGGCTAGATAAAAAAGGAATTTTTCCACAAGTTCAAAATGGTTTCCTCCCTGGAGGACCTACTACAGCTCTGCTTTCCGATTCTTTGTTCGATTGGATCAATGCACTAAATCATTGCAAATCAGTTGACATCGTGTTTTTCGATCTTCCCAAACCATTCGACGGAGTTGATCACCGTGGTTTGCTTTGGAAGCTCGAACAATACGGTATTCGAGGTCAGCTCCTATCCTGGCTTTCATCTTATCTTTAAGAAAGAGGCATGACAATCCGTGTTGGAAACTCTTTTTCAGATCGAATCTGCTGCGGTAGTGGAGTTCCACAAGGTGGCATACTTTCTCCCATTTTACTTCTTACCTACACTGCTGAGCTACCTTCTCATCTGAAAACTCATCCAAACCTAAAAATACAAGTTTTTGCAGAAGACATAACGATTTACATTTGCTACGAAGAAAAAGAACAATTAGAAGCTTACAGTGCAATATCTTCCGCTATCGAAAACATGAAATCATGGTCTAGCAAATGGAATCTCCCAGTGAATCTTTCTAAAACAAAAGTTCTACACCTTGGGAACTCCATAAGCTGCACTTATGAGTACGATGGAGTTATCTTAGAGCGCAGTAGTAGCACCAAAGATCTGGGCATTCTTCTGGACGACCAGCTCAAGTTTACTTCTCATCTCGACCTCGTGACTAAAAAAGCCCTTTCATCTCTATTCGTTATATTGAGAAGCATTTACAGTAATGATGTGACGCTCCTGGTAAGACTCTACAAGACCTATGTGCTCCCACACCTTGAGTACGCTTCACCTGTCTGGAGTCCTTTTCTGAAGAAAAATATTGATAAACTCGAAAAAGTTCAGAAGACCTTTACCAGAATTGTTTACTATAGATGTTACCCAGATTCTGACTATCCTAGATCTTTGCCATCATATCATTCTAGACTGTGTGCACTAAAGCTGCGCAGTTTGAAGTATAGAAGGGTATGTAGTGATTTAATATTCTGCTTCAAAATTTTGCGTCTCGAAACAAGGTTGAGACCTAGTCGGTATTGGGTATTCAAGCCGTGTGGGAGAGCAGGGGGTTTTGGTTTGGCTTACCGAAAATTGGGAAGCAAGTTCGTTTCCAAAGCTTTTAACTCTTTTGTATGCCGCACTGCGAGATGGCTCAGCAAACTACCATCGGAAATAATTCCTTGTAGAAATTCAGCTGATTTTCGCAAAAAATTGGAATCGATAGATGTGTTTCAAGTGTTGAGAATTCCAGATGTTTAACCCGTTCTGATGATACAAGTAGTTCTGGCATTTTTAGCATACGTTTTGCTTAATTTTTGGCGAGTTTTCTACCTACAAAATTTTGTGCTTTTGGATTTCTTTTTACAAAGTGAGTAAACGGACTTTTCCTGTACTATAATATTGGTAGCCAACTGTTTTCACCAGATCTGCAGTCTCTTCGGTTGGATTAGCCGTTCAAGGAAAGCAAAAGTTGGCGCCCCCCTTCCTTGAGATCCCCCCTGTCCACTCGCCCAGGGTCCTGGGCGAATTCGTCCGTCCGGGTTAAGTTGTTCAGGCAAGCCCCGGTAGCATTAGCCACGTTCGCGTTTGGTCAGGGAATAGGATTTCGGTTGAAGGCTCACCGCCATCCGAAGAATGGAGAACGACCTGCATGTTCCAGTTAGGGACTCAACTGGCTACCTGCTTTTACAGATATACCCGGGTTTAGTGGTGACGGGAAGAGACTTAAAACCTAAAAGCGTTCTTCGAAGGTTGTGAAAAAATTTTCCAAACCCTGAGAAAGACTAAACTTCCTTGAGAATGTGGGGTGAAATAGAGGAGTTCAACAGTATGTATTAAGTCGTTTCATAAGTTTGTCAACTTTTTATTTTTGTCGCCGTTTTTCGTTGAAGCGGTTGGTTTAGGCAAAGTACCTATACCATTGAAAAAAGAAAATCTTGCTCTAAAAGAACTGCTGTTCGTTTTTGGAGCAAACTTGAATCCCCTTCTTTTACGGCTTATCAAAGCAAAAATTTTTAAGAGGCAAAAATTGGCGATTTCGGCACCTGCAACTTTCGATCCGTATACGGAGCCACAAGTGGGAATTTTTCGTCTGAATTTGCTATAAGTGATGAGAAACAACTGTTTGTGGTACTATGGTGCATACAGAAGTAGTCTCCATATCCAAAGAGACGCTATAAAGAAAGATTAAGCGCACGTTTACCATGTGCGTAGATGCTTTGCGTTTGGCACAATTTGAAGAAGTTCCCACGTCAAAAATTTTGAGAAAGCGTAAAATGTTGGCCAGAGCTTGTACTCTACATCTACACCACTTAGAAGAACGCATCCATTCCTCAAGTTCCGATAGGAGGACTGACACATTGTGTCGCTGAACAACGCGCCAAACTCAAGCGGCAGCAGTCAAAGACAACAACTATTGGGACCTTGTTCAAACCGTTCTCTGCATATTAGTATGCTGCGAATTTGTCAATGTTTCAGTCTTGCTTGCTACTATCCATCCCACCTATCTATGACAGAAACATCTTGCGGAATACGGACCAATTGCAGAAAGTGTAGTTGCCGAGATCGCCAATTTTTGCCTCTCAAAAAATTTTGCTGTATAAGTCGCAAAAGAAGGGGATTCAAGTTTGCTCCAAAAGCGAACAACAATTCCTATAGAGCAAGATTTTCTCTTTTCAATGGTATAGGTACTTTGCCTAAACCAACCGCTTCATCGAAAAACGGCGACAAAAATAAAAAGTCGACGAGCTTACTCAGACAAATCACCGGAACTTCCGCAGGACAAGCCAAATTTGCAGAAGTTCCGCAGGTTTTGTTCACTACTGCAAAAATGAAAACGCTGAAAATCGGAATTTCCGCAGGATTTTCATGCCAAATTGGTTGAAAACCGGAACTTCCGCAGAACCTTCTTCGAAAATCCTGCGGAAATTCCGAGAATTCCCACAGGTTACTCAGCACTTTGGCCTGCCAGAACTTCCGCAGGACTTTGAATGTGTTGTCTCGTGATGTTGCCTGGCCAACAACTGAGTACATTATCGAACATGTCAGCCGTAGCGTAGACGATAGTAGGTGGGTCTCACACTCAATAGAGGGAGGTTCAACTCTCGCTTCGGTGTTCTCTTTTGCTGTTGTGGTTGGCATTCTTCGGAACTTCCGCAGGACCTCATTTCGGAACTTCCGCAGCACGTTTACGGAACCTTCCAGGTGACCCGACGGAACTTCCGCAAGCGCTCTGCGGAAGTTCCGGTCATTTTTTGAGTATGAAACGACCTAATAAGTCTGTGTGCTGACATCAACATAAACTTACATATGGAGTAACTTATTGGTTGCTTTTTACTGTTGTAAACTTACCGTAGGAAATTTGAAGAGGGTTTTGAGACAACAGGAGCCGTTTCCCCAAGAAAGGCAATCAAAAAAGGTAAATTTGGACTCCACCGCAATGCTTTCTTTACTATGCCAGATACACCGCAACAAATATTTTTGGTCCCCTTTCCAAAACGTGACTGCACATTTGAAAAGCTTGAAAACTCGTGCGTTTTAAAATCAGCATGCGTAAAAACTTTGTTGCACAAATAGATCTTTTTTGGAGAGGGAAGGGGGAGAGGGATTCTTTCGTCTTTTTTCGAAGTTGCTCTTATGCTGGAAGTTTTTACCGTGATAACACAACAAGGAAAACATGGATGATTCGCCTGCTGTATTTATAAGCTAAAGCCTTCCCTACAGGATGTTACCCAAAGCAAAAGACTTCGTGAGAGGTATAAGCGATGAACACCTTGTTACACTTGGGACACTCCGTATATGTTATAGATATCGAATATTCGATGCTCATCGAATATTCGAATATTAGAAGAAAATCGAATGATCGAATCACTGATGATCGAATATTCGACTATCGAATAATATTCGAAAATGAAATTTTTCGAATATCTGACAACCGAATATTATTGAAATCTCAGTTTTTTGAATATTCGAATTTCGAATCATTAACATTCGAATGATTTATTCGAAAATCGAATAACCAATAGTTTTGGTCAGTATCATATAAACCGAGTTAACTCATAATCCGTACTCGCACGGAGGGATTTATTTTAGGAATTCGTTGGATATGTGGCCAATTGCATTCCTATTACTTTTGCTATGTTGCAATGCCGATGCTATCCGTGTAGGAATTGGCCGATTTAGAAATATAGGAAAAATTCGAAAGATCCATACCCGAAGTCCTGGTGGCCGTACTCAAAGTCCTAATCGTGGTCGTACTCGAGATTCGCATCAAGATTGGCTGGGAGTCTTAGACGTAAGAGCGCTGAGATTTATCACTAGAAAGATAGTTTTGACGCGCTTATAGGCTATGTTATCGAAATATCAGTCGTATCAGTGCGGAAAACAATGCTGGAATGACAATGGAATAATAGAGGACAAACTCGAATGTGCAGTACGACGTTGCCTTTAGAGTGGAACGTGAAAGATTACCAACGATTGAGCGCACAAAAGTTTGTAGTGTCCTCTTGAATAAAGTTCATGTCATGCATGTAGTGGGTTATACTAATGCAATTGTATACTTGCTATGCGCGCCCTTTCAAAATATGTATAGTGCTCCAAATTCTGCTTTCTAAATGTCTACGTAAATAATTACGGAAAGTTGCTACAACCTTTGCGGTGCAAACGACCATTTGAGGAATTGACAAGTGTGTGTGTTGTGTGTGTTGTGCGTGTTGTTTGTGTTGTGTGTTGTGTGCGTTGTGTGTATGTGTGAGTGTATGTGTGTATATACATTAGGTCGTCCGAAAGTAATGTCGCTTTTTTCAAATAAACGCCACATTTCATGGAATCAAGATTTTCAAGAGATCTTAAGAGCATTCGATGCAGCATTTCATCCTCTTTCTAATGGTTGTAATTTCATTGCATAATTCTCATTGAACTTTCGAAAAATTAACAAAATCTGCGACTCATGCTTTTTGCCATAGTCAATTTCGGCTATTTTTCTAAATTTTGTACCTATTCTCCGGAGAGGTACAAGTGGCAGGTAAATAGAGCAAACCCTATAGGACACAGAGTGATTTTCTTCTTTTCCTTAGCTTGCTTCTTAGAGTTTACGGAATCAGTTTTAAAATGCCATCAAATTCCATATTTGGTCAACTCAAACCTCACAGAACAACAATCGGCAAGCAACTCGGGTTCATTCGACGCAGCTTTTTCTCCTCTTTTTACCAATTGTTTTTGGTTTCCGATTCATCAAGTTTTCCGAGATAAAATCATCATGAATCAGGTTTTCCAGGGCGCCTCCGGCTGTATCCGGAATTTTCGAAAGTTGCTAATCTGAAGCGGTAAACGCTCATTTGCTTTGTAAAATCAATGTAAAACGTAATCCATCTTTGTAAGTTTCAAAATCCGAAGATTTCTTGGTGTTTGAGTCTGAGACGAGCCTGCTATAAATTCGATGTTTCCATCAAAAAATCTATACAGAAATTATGACGACCTCTGAAAAGTACAAAAAAAGTTGTGTTGTTTCCCGTAGGGTTTGCTCTATCCATACATAACTTGGACTCCTTCCGGGGGTTGTTATAAAAATTTAGAAAAATTGTGAAACTTGACCTTCTCAAAAAGCATGGTTCGCAGATTCCGATAATTTTTTCAGAGGTTATTCAATTTTGTGCGGTAATTATTATGTTGAACCGAAAGTTCTGTCGCACAATTTTCAAAAGATCATAACTTCTTTCCTTCACGACGATTTTGCGCAATTCAAATTTTGGCTGAAAGCGTAAAGCATGTAGTTTCCAATACTCCCCTGGCGACTTTCTAGCATTTCAGGTTGCAGAGATAAAAATGAAAGAACATCCGAAATTCGGAAGTTTCAAGCAAAAATTCTAAAAATTCAAAAACTGTGCGATTAAATCCAGAGCAGCTGTCATCCTAAACTTTCTTAGATTTAATATCAACTGAGTCAAGTTTGTGCTGATCGAGCTCTTCTTTCAAAAGTTTTGATTTTTTGAAAAAAATTGCCGAAAAATCAATTTCCTAAGAATTCTTAAGAAATCGATTTTTTGGGATTTTTTTCAAAAAATCATAACTTTTGAAAGAAGAGCTCGATCAGCATAAACTTGACTCAGTTGATAATCAAATCTAAGAAAGCTTAAGATGACAGCTGCTCTGGACTTTATCGCACAGTTTCTGAATTTTTGGAATTTTTGCTTAAAAATTCCGAATTTCGGATGATCTCGTTCTTTCATTTTTATTTTGCAACCTGTGCATGTTGGAAAGTCCCCAGGGGATTTTTAGAAACTACGTGCTTTACGCTTTCAGGCAAAATTTGAATTACGCAAAATTATAGTGAGGAAAAGAAGTTATGATTTTTTGAAAAATGTGCGACAGAACTTTCGGTTCAACCTAATATATAACCATTAGAGAGAGAATGAAATGCTGCATCAAATGCTACCAGAATCTCTTACATAGCTTTGTTCCATGAGATGTGGCGTACGTTTGAAAAAAGCGACATTACTTTCGGAACGACCTAATATGTATAGGTATGTGTGTATGTTGATCTATATGTGTATGTATGTGTGTATGTGTGCATGTATATCAGTGGCGTACCGAGAGGGGACGTGGGGGGGGGGCGCCCCCCACCCTGAGAATGGGTCGCGAAATTTTTTAAAGTTACTTAAATGTGTTATAAAAATGGCAGAGGACTTGTATTTGCTCGTAAATGATTAAAATGATTTTCAAAAAAATTTTAAAAATTCAAATTAGCTTTGTAAAAAAATTTGTGTGTATGTGTAGCGGTAGTAGTAGGTAGCGAGTAGCAGAGGTACGAATGCCGAATGGAAATATCCTCAAGAGGCCTCTTTCCAGACTATATCCTTTGGAAATTCGCGCGCAGGATGATTACACCGACAGTTGAGCACAAAAGAACGTCTCATAGACGTAAGTGTTCCACATCGCCTACGAGGATACAGCCTCTCAAGAGGCCAAATCTTTATCCCCATTTGCACGTCGTCATTGACGCGCTTTATTCCACAAGCGACGTCTGTGTGTAGCATGTATCTTTATCATGCTCTAGCTACATGCGTTGCGGTTGCAAGCGCGGTCTTTATCGCGCTCCACAATATGCCAGAGAGAGGTATCCGTCCCGCAGCGAATGGAAGATAGCCAGCGTGTGCGATGAATTGCGTCATGCAATTGCAGCTCCAGATCGTTTTTTCTCGTTTTCCTGTTATATGTTCTTTATGTATTCGTTTCCTTCTTATTCTTGTCTCCTTATCACTCTCCCGTGAGCCACATCTATCTTCTATATCCTATTTATTCTGATTTTTTGTCTTTCTCTTTCCTTCGATGCGAAATTATGCGTGGCTCATTTTGGATATTTTCTTCTAATCTTTCTCTCATTCACTCTATTTCGTATTATGATTCCTTTTTCTTCATTCTGTTAGTTGTATAACGGTGCATTGTGGAACTAACATCTTCACATGTATCTATTCCGTCTACACACGTAGATTTCTTATTTCGTGAGCATTGATTATTGCGAAATTCACATTTGACTCCTGTGTTCACACTTGTCTAACCTGACCTCACATGTCATAATAACCTATAACCGCATGCTACTAACACAAATTAGCTCATCTCCACTTCATGTTCTCTTTCTTCTTCTTATTGTCACTTGTGCTTCTATTCCTTCTTCCTTTCTCATCCCTTTCATTTGTCATCCTCTTTACTAACATTGAGTGAGTCCGTTGTGCTTACGTGCGATGTGCTTTCTTACTCTTATCATTCTCTTCTTCTTTCAGGGTAAAGCGATAACGAGTAGACTGACCATCCACAGCGATGACTATCTGGAGAACTAAGACTAGGCGAGGCGAGCCGGTGAGGAAGTCGGAAAGTTCGCTACAACATCGCGGACAGGAACGATCTCGTTCGAGGTCGCTGTCGTCGTCGCCACTTAGAGAGCCGGGTGAGAAGGAGAAGCTGAGCGAAATCTCAGTCGACCCTTCACTCCTGGCCGAAGTGATCCATGAGCTTGCCATTGTGCGAGCTTAAGAGCCGTCACGTCCCCCAGAGGTACTGCCTCCAGCTGACCTTTCGCAGGATTCGTCGCCGAACATCAACGATCCCCACACTCGTGCACCTACAGTGCTCGAGCTGATTTTAGCAATCGCGAAGGGATACAACGTCAATAGATGATTCAGCTGTGACGAGGACAACGATACTCAAGCTTTCGCGGTATCGAGAATGTATAGAACAGCACTGCAGCTACTCCACCAACTGACAGTAGCTCTCTCCCCAGCACGCGTGTTTCCCACGCAACTGCGCCACAGCGACTTAGTCGCCATCGACGCTTCCTCCATGACGACCTCTTTGGACAGATCCGAAGCATATTCACCAAGGAGATATATCTAACGAAGGCGGAGGATTTACAAGGCGCCAGAGCCGAACATCTGCCTGCGCTACTGATCTCAGGACACATGAATGGACTTGTTGAACTTACTGCGCAAGCCACAAGTTACTTACAGGAGTCAGCTCACAGGCCGCAACCGAATCCTGACGCTTTGTTGAATCGCATGGCTGACCATTTTCATTATATTCATAACATCAATTACAGACAGGCGATTTCAGCACAGCTTATAGCGATTCTGTTCACGCCGGTTGATGGACTCCAGCGTAAGCTGAACTTGTTGGCCACTCAGGCGTAACGTTGGAGAAGATCGTTTCCAACAACTATGCCGCAGCCGCAGCCGTAGCCCAGATGGTGAGGGCCCACGGCATTTATCGTGACGTCCTGGAGGAACATCTGATGACGAGGAACATTGGCCAGCATAGATCGGTAGCCCCCAGTGCGACAGCACAGAAAGTGGTTCAGCAAGCGGTTGCAGCTGCGCCACCGCCGTCGGAGGCTAAGGCGAAACCGCCTCAGGCTGAGCCTCAATTGACGACGTCGAATCCACAGCAGTCGAGTTCTCAGCAGTGAGACAGCTCAACTGCCATCAGCATCCACAACACACTTCGACCCGGAACCAAGAAGTTTCGCCAATCAGGAGGTTTCGGCAGCGTCATCAGCACCTTCTCCTCCTCCCGGACAGCCCGCCGCCCCCCAGGATGGGGCCCTACAGCCCATTCCACGGGAGCGTCAGGGGCCACGGTGGGAGACCGTGTTGACTGTTTTTGCTTTTTGGGATCCCCCTTTCTTTTGACTTTGACATGACCCAGGGTTCTTTTGAGTTGTGAGGAAAATCCCCCCCCCCCACTGTCTAAATTCTTCCCCTTTGGCGTGAAAAACCGCGCCCGTAGGCTAGATTGAATCTTTTGAACGTCGTCACCTGCCTTTCAGTCGATGTCGAGCCGCTGTACGTCACGTTATCAAGAAGATCCACGTCCACGTCAAGTCATGGTCGAATGGTCAGATGTCGATACCACAACTTTCGTCAACGTCGCCGATTCCAATCGCCGTCAATACAAGTGTCGTTCCTCAACTGCCGAAAGACCCACCAGAAGTTCCGACGTGGAGCCCCCGACGACTGTTCAGGCTAACCCGTGAGACAACCGGTTGTCGCTACGATACGCGGTAGGCCAACGCACGTACTAGGGTTAGTTCTACTCGTGGTTGTGTGTGTACATATAACCAACCCGTAGTCGTAGGTAAGGTGGTGATCTGGAGCCTACCTCGGAACCTTTTTCTGCCGCCCGGAGTGTCGCGGATTGCGCGACTTCCTTATAGGGAGTTTGCCACCGCTAAGCGATGGGTTCTACAGTCCTCGCGCTGCCCCGCCTCTCGTTCCCATGTCTAACTTCGCATTCTCACGCATTCTCCCACACTTGTCCAGCAGCGAGCGGTCGACTACCTCAACTGTCTATTGATCGATCAAGCAGCGCACTCTTCCGGTCCAGCGATGTTCAACACCTGCACGCTTGGAGGACTGGCACCTGCACCAAGGTAACCCGGCTGTGCGCTCCTTTCTTGCCCATGCTGAGGAGCCACTTCGCGGGGGGTTTCATTTTTGCCGCCCCTAGGTGAGATCTCGGCCGGTGTGTACTCTGCCCATTGTAATGAGTTGCTTGTGTGTTGGTTCAAATGGGGATAAATGGTGGACATATAGAACTGTAGTGTTTTGACTCTTGTGGTAGCCAAAGGCTCAAGGCACATTTATATCTGTTGCTGCTTGTGTTCCTTGTATACTTGTCTTGGAGTGATCCATCAGTTGCAAGGCAGGGCATGATGTGCATTAGTGCCCTAGTTGCAAGTGATCCACAATTTTCCATGTGTGAACGGCTCGAGAAGGCCGGCAGTAGGTATTAGGGAGTTGGTAGCCTAAGGCCTCTAACTTGTTGTGCGTTGTGCTTGTAACAGGCCATAATACCGTGGCACAAAATAGCTACCCTTCCTCAAGTGTCGTTGTTCTATTTCACGGCTGGAGTTCTCCACTCCTGTAGCCGATGCAGGAGAGCATGTTACCACTAATGCCTGGGGAGGGGGACCCCAATCCGCGATACTACCAAGAGCTCTCAGTAACTTTTTTCAATCAGATGCAGCGCAGCAGTCTATCGGGCTACTGTAGGCAGTAAGTTTTCACCAATTTCTCAATATTTGTGCTTAGATGATTGGCTGACAACAACATTCACATTGATTTGCTTTTGACACATGATTAGAACCTCAACTGAACCACACAAGTTGACGAATTCTAGCTTATCAGTTTACTCAATGGTGAAGTTGTACATACGCGTCATCAGGGATTATGAAATTACAAATGTGATCGTTGATATGAAATTTAGCAGTGATTTGACGAGTCCACTGGGATGGAGTTCGATCCAACAATGCGTCTATATGCTTCCTACAAGTCTTGTGGCCAGAGCCAAGCAGGTGTTGGTTTGGAGAAATTCTGGAAACGATTTCTCCCACAAATTCGCGAGGATTTAGGAAGTCCCTTTTGACGTAGAAGTCAGTAAGGAAATCCTCATTAAATCAACATAAGAATAAGAAAGCGAAAAAAGTGTATGAGGTATCTGATATAACAAAAAGCAAAAAAAAACATTCTAAGTTGATTGGAGCTCCGTCATTGGGTAGGCTACCATTTTATTGTTCAGAATGTAGAAAACCCCTTACCAAATCTGTGGCTTCAACAAGCTGGCGATGCATTTTTCGCCGCGTAAAAGGACACCGCATGTGATTGGAGCGCGTCTATCAATGCGCAGGTTTCACTTCAAATCAAAAACATTCAAAACTTATGTGATGTCTCCCAAATTCATGCTCCGAACCAATTCAGTTGGTTTCTTGTTGGTCTAGAAACCTCAAATTAGGGAAAGGGTATTAGCGCACATAAGACTTTGAAAAATTCAGGATGACCGTTCATTTTTTCACAGGTCTTCTGGAAAATGACTAATAAATAGAAGTTGCTATAGTTGGTGAACTAGTACAAGTGTAAGTTGATAGTTGTAGTTGGGGTTTTGTCATAGTATTATCTAGCAGTAGTAACAACACGAATCCACTCCCAAGTTCAATTTAAAACAATTTCGAAACAAAAGTTACGTCCAAACTCCGTGTCATTTTCTACAGCAAGAAATCAAGCTAGTTCGATACATTGCAGCTAAGGCGATTTTTGATTCGTTTATTATCAATTATTTATAAAGATTTCACTCCAAAATAAAAAAAATTAATTCTATAGACCTCTACAACACTAAACTTTTCATAAAACTTCTCGTAAAGACTCGTTCAAAAAGAACAAATCAAAATTCAATCATGACATCAATCAAATAAAATATATCAACGAAAAAAAGGGCAATATATGACCTATGCATCTTCTCTTAAACATATTCCTTCTGGCGAGTAATTAACACAAATCAATGAGAACGGTGCTAAATAATACTCAAGTAAACATGGACTGGATATTGCGGAAGAAATTCGGCGTGCACCAATACATAATCCGCATTGACCGACACATGCTAAAGAATAACAAAAGGAACGAAAATGAGGCAAACCAAGACGGAAGTGATGTCTACTATTTGAGGGAGTTGTGCGTAGTCCATTTGGTGCCCCTGAGGACTGCCAAGACAAAAAATTTGCTTCAAACATCCGGGCGTCGAATTTGAAAGCACAACATCCCACTACTCTAGTTCTAACTGATCTAGAACTGGTATTGCCCAAGAAAGGAATACAAGGAAGACTCGCTGAGAAACTCCCAAAATAAATATATTCATAATATATCAATACAACAAAAAAGTTATGACTGGAAGACATAAGTTGATTTCCCCGGGTTGGAACGCATGTAAAGAGGAATTGCGCGAGTTCGATCGGCAACCGTCAGGCGCCACCGAGAATGTCGCTTGCCGATGAGGAAACAAGAGAAACACAGCACAACTTTGGATATAAACTACGTAAAACACACGGATAGATGAGCTGGGTGTCGAAGATGAGGGGCGTAGCCTAAGTGATCACTACTACTTGTGTTTGGATGCCGGCGTCGAACATGTCGTCGACGGAGTTGGCGTTGAGAACAGATCTGGCCTTCGCTGATGTTCAACGACTCCAGGGCCACCAAGTGGAGGTTGCCATACTTCGTATCCGAGCTTGATCAACTCTCCAGTAATCATATCCAACAGCGTTTGCGGAGTATCTAGATGAAGACAGTTGGCATTACAGAAAAAGCCGCCGCTCAAACTTCTTGGGAAAAAATGTTCGGCTTTCACTAAAATTTTGGCTCGGAAAACGAACGCTCAAAAAAAGGAGTTTGAGACCAATTAGCATGCTGAAGCTAACAAGCATGCCTTGAAAGATGTCAGAATGTCAATATTTTAGCATTTTCGGACCAATTTATGAGTGAAGACTGCTGGAAGGGAATCGACTTTGGAGCAAATGACTCGGAACTGTCAGAATCAACCAGCCAATGCCGTTAGGATGTGTTCACCCCTCCGAATTCGGCAGCCAATCCTTCAAGCGCGCATATGCCAATTCCGCTTTTCAGCAGTCTTTACTCAAAAATTAAAATTTCACCCTTACTAGACTTGGCGAAACTTTGCACAGTGGATTAACTTGACAAGCTGAACACGAATATTTATCTTAATACAAGTTGTTGTCGGGGTCAAGAATTAACCCATTGATTTTCCGTAATTCAGCTTTTTCGCAACAAAAAAGGTCTTCCACTTAAAATGAATATCATTTTTTGATCAGGAGATGTCGTAAATCCGCTCCCCCCCCCCCCTAGAACAAGATTCATCCAAATCCGTGGCAATTCCTTTTTCTTTTCCATTCAAAAATTGCCTTAATGTAACCCTCAAACGATGATGGAATTTTCCAGAAATGATTGTATTCGTTGGTCACATGATGAACATTATAATGCCGGAAAATGAAAGCGCCACTTTCAAATGACAAAAGTTATGAGAAAGAGTTGCAAAACATATGTGCCAACCTGATGAAAAAAGCTCTCAAAAGAAATTTTACAGTGTCATTGCCTTTGAGAGCCAAGCAGAGTGGCACAATTATAGCCAACAAAGACAACTTGCGAAAATTAGACAAACCTGGCTTCAAAAATGCGAACACAGATCCGCCACCTCCTGCACCAGTCATTTTCGGATGTATACCGTATCTGGCAAGTGTCGTACATATCTGATCCACTTTAGGGTGACCTACACCCAATCCAATCAGCAGCTGATTATTTATTCGGCAGAGATCCTTAAGTACATCTATAAGCTTCACGTGAAAGAGCAAACGACAATTGCCGCATGCTTGTTCTGGCTGCATTGAAGCTTTACAACATTCGAAGAAGACACCATTGTCAACCCATTCGAAAGTTCTGGAAGGCGAGATTTTTCTAAATCTACAAAGCGTGAGCACTCACTCAAAGCAATTTTACGAGCTTGAATGCAAATCTACGAAAAAAATATGCAGACGCTGTCCATCAAACCCGCTAAAAGGCTGTCAGAAAGACGAAATGCTCTAATCTATCAATGTCAGTAAGCGACTGAGGGAGGAATGTGCAGGCGGCAAAATTCACTCCCGGCAACAGCGTAAAAACTGAAACGGAGAACGGAGTGATCCGTGCAGGACGACCACTTACGTTAAGCTTGCTGAACGTGTCGACGAGTTCTCCTTTGTCGGATGTTGCGGAGACGGCCGAAGCCGAGCTGCCCCGTTTGCCGCCGGCCACGTACGAGGAGAACGTCGACGAACGCACGCTTCCTCCATGATGCGGCTGAAATCACGGAACGACACGCTTCACGACGCGAAACGAACTTCAAGCTGCTCAGATCTCAGAGGCGCCGTGTGAACTGTGAAGATGTGAAGATCAGAGAGCGGCAGCCAGCTGCTTGCTAAATGTAAGGGCGCCGGGGTGAGTGAGCGAGAACAGAAATCGGCTGTCTGGTTATAGAACGCTCTATGTGAGAGGAACGTAGGCTTTCACAAAGTCGTCAACCACTCACATGCATGATCTCTCCGTCCGAGCTGGACCAGCTCTCGGTGAAGGCTGAGAGCCTGCTGCTCGAGAGGTCGTCCACACCTCGGACATTCTTGGACATCTATACACTGATATGCCTAGGATCGTCCAAGCTATTTGCGTAAGGGCGCCGTTATGCCAACGAGGACACTTTGCATGCTAATGGTTGAGGATCTTGTGAAAATCTTTTCAGGTGGTTTCATCAGCAAAAATTCGAAAAGGTACCATTAAGCGCAGGGACGGGAAAAGGGAATTCCTACCGCTGTTTTTTTCCACATTGAAGGCAGTAGCTCGGCAAGATGAACCCCCGTCAAAATTTGGATATTGAGTAGTGGACTCTCCTAGAGCATCGCAGTCCAAAACCTTCGATACATGCGCCAAGTCCTGTAAACGCGCTTCAAAAGCTCACCATTGACGCCTACTCAACGGAAATGGGCGGGGGCAGGTTGGATTTTGAAGGACTTTCTCAGGACTTGGCGCACAAAATGAAAGGCGAGGTTGGGGAGAGGCGGGGGGGGGGGGAAGGTGATTTATTATCTAAAACCATCAAAATGTAAAAAGCGTCCACTTTGCCGAGCCAGTGTCTTTCAGTCTAAATAAACGATCAAAATCTGGATAGGGCCATCATTGCTGAATTTACAAGCTCAATTTTTCGAACATTTGTACCTAATTGCCTAAATCAAAATATGCGACTTTACGACACCAAAGGTACACGAGCGTACAAAAGCATTAGGATCTGAGGAGGCGCAGAAATGCGACGGACGCAGTGACTATTCACCAAGTAGCGCAAAATTACCTGCAATGAGTGATGATCGTTATCGGGTACGGTTGTGCCATGACCACCATTTTCCAATTTATCCAACGTTTCACCATTTTCTTCAGGCGGCCGATGTAAAATTTTTGCTGCCTCTCGTGAGATTGCATCGATAGATGTGAAGATTCCCTCTACTACATCGGGAAACTAAAAACAAGAAAATGCTTAGTCCTCAACTCATGGCAAATTTTCGCACTTTGCAAAAATTTTTTCGAGTCATGTTGATTTCTTCAAAAAAAAGACATCTACTGCTTCAAAAGTCAAATGCCCTATTGAGATGAAACATTATGATTTACGACGTTCACAACCTTTTTTCGAAAACTTTAAAATTTCCAAAATGAGGTATCCTAGCAGTTACAGTCATGAACGAATCAAAGCAAAGGAAATCATGGTTGGATGTACGCATAACATATAAATCAAGATTCATATGAATCAAGATCAAAAGATTAAGAATCTATTCTTTCTACTAGCTCATCGATTAGAAATGAGAGATTGGTATCAATGGAAAGAATCCGTAAGATCTGAAAGAATTCACATACTGAGATACATTTTGAAAAATTCCGGGATAGGCTTTTTTTTGACAGTGAAAAGAAAGTAAAAGAGAGGCAAACTTAGAATGTAAGAAAAGAAGTGCTGAGCGTACTTTTCATGTATGAAAAATTTTGTATTTTATTATGCTTGAAGAGGTTTGTTACAAAATTGCAAAGTCAAATTAAAAGTTCGCAAACCACCACTTTGGTCAAAAAGACCCAGATGCAAACTCTTCCTTTGATCACAAAAAGCGGGTGACAAAATTAAAAGTAATAGGAAGCAGAAAACCGAAATGAAGCATCAAAAATGGAAGATATTATTTATTGTTGAAAAATTCAATGCAGAACTCCCAAAACAACATAATATTCAAGACACCAAAACGTTAAAATAGCTTTACCTTTTTCAGACGTTCCTTCACTGTTTGTACCATTCGAGACGTATTTCGCTCAACTTTCGAATTTACCAAAATAACACGAAGATCGGGGAGACTGCAAAAATTGGAAAAAATCATTATTTAATTCAACTCAAGAGAACCATATAGAGCAAAAAATTATTTAAAAAAAGTAAATAGAATGATTGCAGAGAAAACTCACTTCCTGAGATGCTCAATTCTTGTACCGGGTTTGAAACTGGCCACGCCTCCTAAATAGAGGATATTATTGGACGAGTTAAACAAAAACCATTAGGGAGAGACAGCTTACACCACAAAACAGCTGAATGGAAAGAACAGTACACCTCTCCTCATACTTCTTCTTCCACTTTTTAGAGAAGTTGGACGAGTTGACAACCGCCCCAATTTGGAAATTAAGGTTACTTACGCGCTTTTATTAGACCATGTCGAAATTGCCCCGCTCAAATGTTAGCTTGAGCGACTTCCAGAGGAAAAATTGGTCAGAATGTACTAATGCGGAAATCTATCTAACAGTATGAAAAGAGGGGTAACATGCAGCTAGTATACTCTCACAAACAGTGATTTTAGTTAAGAAGTAGCTAGTAAATAATGCCTACGCACAAACACGAAGCAGTGGCTGGATTAGCTGAAGAGTGTCATCACCTACGATTCTGTACGTAAAATTAGCGAAAGAACTCAAAGGCAGCATCCATGCAAATCTAGATTGGTGAGATTTTGATGCAGTATAATAGCGAAATTAAGTAATTGCTCAAGAACGGGTGCAAAGATCTATACCGAAACGAGGAAATCGCTCCGGAAGGTGGATGCTGCTGAGGTCACCACACACATCAACTTGGGTGGTCTAAAACTCGAATCAGTAGTGCCTATAAATGTCGAATATCCTCCTTTCAGTGTAAAAAAACACATTTTCGACATTTATAAATATCCAGTCCAGCTTCTTGCCCATTACTTCAAACCACTCACGCTCATGGGCGTGGCAACCTTGGCAGCATCCACTTTCTGAAGCGATTTTCTCGCTCCATGATAATCCGTTTACAGCGGGACTTGAGAAGTTACCTAGTTAGGGGCCTCGCTATCTTATTGCAATAGAATCTCACCGACTCAGCTTTGAATGGATGATGCTTTCAAGATGCTAGTCTATCACAAAACACTGACATGCCAAAAAAGGCAGATGACGTCATTTTGAGCTGTGCCAGAGGCGGCTGCAGATCTCGCACGGCAGGTTGTTGCGCGCCACCTGACAGATGTCAAAAGCACACCATCTTGGCAGACAATCACACGACTGTCGCTAGAACTGAGTTATTCGTAATGATGTGACATAGTTACCGTAGGATCCCACATATCCCAGGTGCGTAAAGCTCTGGTAGCCATAATCGCGAAAATGTCCTAAAATCGCCTCCGGTCACAGAACGAATCGACTATTTCAATCACGAAGATTAGGGAAAAGTTCATTCATATGTATATGGAAGGGACATGGAAGTAATATCAACAAGGATGGAGCACGAACACAACTGCAAAAGCTAGCAGCAGCTCCTTGGCTCCGCTCTTGCCTCACTCATCGAATAAAAAATCATAGGCTCTCTGATTTGCTCTTTAGCTCGCAGCAAAAATCAGCGCAACAACGGCGGACATGCTCGCTCGTACTCAGCAAAAGCATCAACAGCTAATAATTTATTGAAGTGTAATATAATACCCTGACATGTGTGGCTTCATCGATGGGCCCGTTCAGAAATAAGATAAAGCAAGACGACAGTTCCTAGTCTTCCCTTTCTGTTCCCAAAGTAAATTACATAGAACAATTTATGAATACCCCTATCCACATCTATGGGGCTGCGTCCAGGCAAATCTGGGTATTTGGACTTTGAACCCATTGCTAGCCTCGGTCCATATGATCCATTCATGAACGAAGCGCTCAATACTAGACTCCAGCTTAGAACGATCTTTTCCGGCGGATCAATCACCGGCATCCCTCGCGAACCAATCAGCGCCCGCGAATACTGTGGAAGTCACTATATGAGCTAGAATCTAGAGTCCAGTTTCTTGGCCACAAATGGATCATATGAACTTCCGCTTGAGGTATGGTTTGGTTAAGAGTACTCATTCCACCCGATAAACTCAAGTTTCAAATTTGCCTGCATGCTGCCTTTGAGGCTGCACCCACAGTTGCCTCCAATCCGTGCCAGCGCTGTCGGTCGATCAATATGGGGTACGTCTATGTGTGCACGGGCACGAGGCTGGCACGACGCTGGCACAGGGGCAACTTCGAGCGCAGACTAAGAGCGCAAGATTATGTACTCATGTACACTAGGAGTTGTTAGGAAACTTAAAAAGGAAAGACGCAATTTTGTAAGTACTAAAGGCAGCTCTCAGCACCGAAGTTACGTTATAAATCACAGATGGAGACGACCTGCAGATCAAGAAACATTCCAAAACCAACGAAAGTAGCATTCACAGAAAAAGACGACAGCTTTATCAAATTAGATAAAGGCAAGAAGAAATTAGCTAACAAGTCTACCGAATATGAAAAGTAAAAGATCATGCCAAAGCCTTGATAGAGCAAAAAATTAGCACATCACCCTGAAGAAAGCGTAGCTGAAATTGAAAATAGCGTAGTCCGATAAAACACAAAAACTGTTACGGCTTTTTGATACATTGTACACTATAACTGTGATTGTCAGTATGGTAGCGCTAAGCTGCTAACCCGAAAGACATCAAGTTAGGGTAAACAAAAATTCGGCATTATGAGGAAAACTCAAGATTATTTGACAGGGTTTTATTAGCATCTTGAATACATAGCCTAGCAAGGCTAGCTAATGGTAAGCGCTAAGCTCCCGAAAAAGAACAGATTGATTCCATCAGGATGAGGTGACTGTTCTGTCCATTGAAAAATTAAAGTCCGTGCAGATAGCGGCAAATAAAAGCAGCTTTATATCCTCAAGCTCTGTTTCTGATTGAAGCAATGCCTGAGCAACCAAAGAACTCGTCCCTCTTATAGTGATTTTTTCCCTTTACTGAGATCTTTACTCTCGGCAACGATAGATTTATAATCTACAAAAATTTGACCTCTGCGACTTACCGTATGTGCAGACAGCAGCGTCAAGACCGGATGCGCGCCCGTGTATTAGAGATTCGGCTGCGGTAGCCCATTTTCGGATCATATCAAGGTGCTGATCTTCCCATGTTAAGCTTCCGTCATCATCCGTCTATAAAATAATGGATGAAAGTGAGTGACATGGAAAATCTGACCAAAAATCATAAAAATTGGAACTTACAACAATCGATGGAGAAGGAATCAATCCAGTTGTTTGTAGAAGAGCAGTAGCAATACAAACACAATAGGCACCTAAATGATAAGATGCACTGACTTTTTGACGATTCGTGAACAAGCTGATTTTTGAGGAGACTAAACTCAAAACTGAAAAGCTAGACTTCTCAGGCGGAACGGAAATTGGTTGAAGAGCCTAATCAAGCTAATGCCCAAGTGGCAGCTGGAACTCATTCATGAACAAGAAATCTAGACCAAAATTCTTGCCCAGTACCGTAATCCTTCTAGGAAAACCCGTCCTGATTATGGTACGGGGTGAGAGCTCGGAGTCAAATTTTTTTTGCCACAAGTCCTATGAGCTGCCGAGTGGCCAATAACTTAGCAACTCCTATTAGATTCCAGATAAAAAAGCCAGGTACAGAAAGAGGAAAAAAATGGAATGTGAGCTCTTACCCGAAGATCCCAGTCCTACACAACTAGGTAATTTGAAGCGAACTGTAGCTTTTACAGCGAGAAGATCCCTGAAATAATGGAAATTCAAAGCTTTCACAATTCAAACAGTCATCCAATATATAAAAGTAGTAAAAGATCGATCAAAGCCCATAAAGCTCAGGTGCAGAGCCCACTATTTTGCAAGTTATGTGCTTGTGCTTGGAAAGGGTAAAGGACATTGATGACCAGTAGCATCTGTCGAATATCAAGATAGCGTCCAGAGTTGCATTGCGCTAGGGCCGTGCCAGCGCCGTGCTGGAACCCATGTGGACGCGTTCCGTATTCATCGCGCGACTTCCGACATAGCGTCAACACGAAAACTGGCACGAGCAACTCTTGAGGAAGTCCCACGAACTTCTTTTTTTATTCAAAAGCCAAGCTTTCTAAAATCTCGTCTAAAAATCACCCAGCACGACATTATAGACACACAAACACCATAAAGCTTCAGCATCAACACTTACGATGATGCCGTATCCTTCGTTCCATTCGATTCCATGGTCATTGCCTGCTGCGTGAAGTAACTGAACCACACATCACACTACATAATCTATGTAATTACCAACAACACATGCATTGTGCTAAAGCAGTGTCGAGAGCCCATGTGCAAATGTGCGAGCTCCGCGCCAGGATCGTGCCAGCACCGAGCCTAAACTGAAGTGCACACGCCACACAAACTGATCGACTGACGCTTCATCACGGCGTTGGCACGGTGCTGGCATGGCATTGGCACGGAAAACTCTAAACGAAGCCTAAACAAAGCCAGAAAAAGCTAGGTTAGGCAAAGCCGCTTGCAGCCGTGGCTAAAGACGACCAACTCCAGGTGTGGACGGTATGTTTGCGGACAGAACCATAGCAGCCAAAATTAGTCAAAATATTTAAAGCATACCTCTTCCGGTGAGCAACGCCTAGTAGAAGATACCAAAAGGCAAGAATAGCCAGATGTTGGACCCCACACTGATCCTCACACGAACCCGATAACTTTCGAGCAATGGGCACCAACAATTCCAATGACGGAGGCTGATCTTCTTCGATAGGATATTCAGCTGAAAAACCATAATTTATGCTCTGCATGACAGGCGAAACGTTGAAAAGACGAAATTGGTCAAAACATTCACCAGCTAGTCGATCTGCTGCTTTTATAAGATCTTTAAGTAGCCATGTCTTCTCCACTCCCAAATCTGGTAGACTCAAATAGATTCTGCCATCAGCAGATGTAAAGAGACTGACGTAAGTTCGCAGATCGATGGAACCAGCTATTGCTGTCTGAAAAACATTTTTTTTCTTTTGACTTTTTTGCTTCAGAAAATTTTTGAACCCTGAACATATGTTTAAGATCATATTACAAAAGCGCAAACAGCTGTGAAGTTCATCACTTTGAAGTGTCTTAGTCTCAAAACAGATTATTCAAGAATCCGCATAGATACGGTATCCGACTGGGTAGATAGTAAAGTTTTAAGCGAAAGAAAACAAAATCAATTTCCGTAATGCATCACTTCTGACTGATTGAAGTCAGGAAAACAAAAATTGAGGACAAGAATATATATTTTGCTTTATTTCCAAAGTTTGAATGCATGTACTGAAGCAAATGCAGCAATTCTATTTCTTTAAAATAATTGATACTAAATTGAGGAATCCAACAAGGCTAATTTTGAATCTGAACGAATAAAATTTGCTAGAGCAACTCTGATTAGGATTCAGTCACAGCTGCTCATGTCAAAGCCACGCCAGCGATGTGGCAGCGCCGACGGCGATCGATCATTGAGCCGGAACGGGCTAGAACGGCGCTGACACGGCGCTGGCACAACTCCGGCATACAAGAAGCTCTGGATGCTACCTCAAGAATGGGATTGTTTAGATCAGCAAATATCAAATCCAAAAGTGGTGCTCAGAATCATAAGAGCCGCCAAAAATTTTCACTTTTTTGCAAACAACTGGACAAAAACAATGAAAAATGTTATATTTTGAAAATCAAAAAAAAACAGAAAAAATTGATGTATTTACTCACTCTGCCATAAACAACTGCATGTTCACCAAAAAGGATGATCTTGCCAGGAGCCGAGACATATAATCCACCATGTGCACTGCTTAGATTCCGCATTGGACTTGCATGATTTGACGATCGCGAACAGCTGCCGCCTGGCGAGTCCAGCGCTGAAAAATTTGACAATCGATGGAAAATTCTAGAAGTATTTTCTGTTTGAGTTATGTAAATTTTCTAGTTTGTATTTGGTTATTAAATTGACGAGAAATAAGCAAAGAATATTAATCGTTTGTGTTCTCCAGATTTTCCATAACTAACAGATTGACAATGAGCCTCGCTTTCAGATGGGGAGAGCATGTTTATTTATTTATTTATTTATTTATTTATTTGTTTACCTACTTATCTTGAATCTCTACAGTTTCGCTGTACCTAGAAATATGTTCCAGTTCGTGACTGAATCAGCCACATGTAAGCTTTCAGTAAAAAGAAATACCAAAAGAAAACTGCTTCTTTGCAAACACACCACTACTTCTTCAAAATCCACTCATAAACTAGTGACTATAGAGCGTAATCCATCAAGTGACGTAATTCTGTAGAATGGGCAATAGCTCTTCCAACTGGGTAAATAAATTTCCTCAGAAAAAAAACGTCAACGAGTCGTGCCAATCCACTCGCTAATCCTCTTAGATATTTGTTTTCTTTGCAAACAAATTGATCATAATAAAAATTTTCCAAGGTATGAGTCAAGAAAAGGAGAATACGTTTGTCGAAAACTCAAAAGGTACCTACATATGAACTTCTAAATAAACGTCATTCTTAAAATGCCAGCTACAATTGAATTTATGTACTCTAATTCTAGCTTTCTTTAGAAGAATATTTATTGCGCCTTAAAAAAAATGACGGAAGTCTCCAATCAAGAAGAGTGCTTACTATTCAAACGTTAAAAGAAAAACTCTAACAAAAGTTCTCTGGATGAGCACAATTTTTTTAAACAATTGCACCAAGTCTGTCGATTGTAAATGATTCGTAAAAAACTGCTGCTGTGCCTGGAATCCAGTTTTTGGAGGAAGTTCAAAGGTCACAAATCACTGACAAATTATCTTAAGACTCTTATCAACGCTTCCAAGAAATATCACAGAATGTAGTGCATAGGTCATTCTGTCAATAAAAAAAATCAGAGCATTATATCGATTATGATCAAAATTAGAAACGAATGACTAGGGGAGTGAAAAAGAGCGAGAAGAGCACAATTTAATTCTGACCCTTTCCATCCTCAGTCTGAATTGATTGTACAGATGACTCCGAGACATCCGTAGTGATAATTGTGATCTCCTCTTCAGTGGTTGTCATATTAATAGTGCCCGAGTTTTAGCAAAATTATGTCCAGCAGCGAAACAGATGAAATCACAGAGAAGAAAAACTGCAAAAGGTGAACTGCACTTGCGCGAAAAAATCGAAAATACTCGATCTATGAGAAAAACACAAGTGATGGGGAGGACCACGACGATAGATGAGAGGGTTGGAGATGTTGTTTTGAGAAAAAATACAAAAAACCTGTCGTTATGTACACAGAAAAGCTAAATGTACATAGAATGTGCATTTCGCCTGAAGAGCATGAACTATAAACAAGAAGATTAGCTCATGTGTGCTGTTGGTAATGTACATATGGGTAAATGATAGGTGAGAAAGAGAACTAGCAGCGTTGAAGCCTATTGATTCTTTAAAAAACACAATTTCATTGATCAGTACCGATTGCTGATATTACTGCTAAACCAGACCCACTCTCCCGCTTTATAGCTCTCAGTCAACGATTGGAAATTTCAAGGGAAAAAAGCATAAACTCAACTAGCTCACAAGCAGTAACTAGAACACTAATGATGCAATTTTGGCAAGGAACCAAAAAAACAAAAGAGAAGTTTTGAGTCGTTAGACAACATTAAGTGTTATTTCTCCAAAATAGATAAACAAAAGCAACTACTTGGATTTGCAGCGGTTAATGTCCGGAAAGAAACCAAATCCAAGTGAGAGCCGAAACGCGATAGCTTAGAGTCTGCAAACGCACAATTTTCAAAAATTGAACCTAGTGGCAAAAAAGGCAACAATTCCAGATAAAAAATGAATTTGAGCTACAAAGTCACGCGGTAAGCTTTCATCAATTCTAGGATTAGAATACGTCTACTTCAAATCATAGATCTAGTAGCTCCAAATTTCCGCATAAGGCACAGCTTAGGGGAAGTTTCTTTAGTCATAAAAGACGCATCTAGTTCAAGTTGAATCAGATTCTGTTTTTAATACTTTGCTTGGCTTGTAGAAAAGTATAGGAAGTATTCAGAAAAAACCACTTCGCGATTTTATGGGAAAACTGGTTGTTACTGACGAAACCATTTCATTGTTTGGAAAATGGGTACAGCGAAAGACCGAAAACCGTTCTAGTTTAGAAAAGCGAAAAAAAGCAGACATTTTTGAACAATAAAAACGGAGAAAACCAAGTGATTCACGACTTGCTTGACAAGCGCAAAACTTTTACAACTATGAGTCAGAGATCGTAAATTTGTGAATAGAGGAAGTGCGGCGAACGGTGCAATGAATACATCAGCTTCGTACAGGTCAGGTAGAAAAACATTTCACAAAGGTTCTATTTGCTCAAGCAGTCGTCAATTCGCTGTGCTTAACGTTACGGATGGGTCAATAGCTTGGCTGAGTGATGTCAGCCTGGTTGGCACCTCGTAACTGGACTGACGTGAAATCTCTTCTTAAGAACTCCGGCAGGTTCTACTCGGGGGTCGACCTATGTATACATTCGCTTGATGCAGATGTACGATAAGATTAGCAAAAACAAAACGAACAGGAGGGGGGAGGGGGACAGACAGCGCCGGCAAAATTGGGCCAAGTATTTCTTGCGAAACTAAGTGGTGCCGCTTGGAACTGATAGCGCCACAGCATTTCCTTTTATATGGGAAAGGAGAGGAGACCTGAAGAATTTCTTTGCGGGGACAAAATTATGAAGTAAAACTACTTGTAAACAGATAAGTAACAGTATTTTAACTTCAATACCACCTTAGAAATTTCATAACAAAACAGGAAACGCGATGAAACGGAAATGACTCCACCTGTGACTCACTAAAGTACGTGATGCAAACTTTCGAATAACGGTATTTTTGTGAATGAATAAGAGTTATTGACCAGGCAAATGCTATGTTTTTGTAATGAATGATAGTAGAGCGAAACACAAGACACAAGAAGCGTATAAGACAAACAATGAAGTGCAATCTCAAGTTTTTTTATATGAGAACAGCCACGAAAAAACCATTTCCCGGAAACAATCGCATGAATTCAAGCAAACGAGTTGGGAAACTCATAAAATTGGTGGCGAAATTTTATTATCGCTTCAGAAACAGTTAAGTGAGGTCTGCATAATTTAGGATTCGTTTTCCAGCAGTTGCTCATTTCTGGAAAAATAAGAAGCATGAAACGAAATTTCCCACGATTAATCACTAGCACCGAATAAAATTGCACAGAACAAAAAGGACTGTCTCCTATAAATGATCAAAAAAAGTGTTATTACAGCCTAGAAAAATGCAGACGTAATCCTATGTAGGTCTCCAAGAAATTTGGATTTCATTTCTTCGACAATGAATTCCTCTTCTTACAAAAAAAATGAAGCATATGAACAAAATAAACTTATGTTTGTTTGATCATCAACAGCGAAAGAAAATGCGCAGTACAAAAATCATCATTTAATAGAAGTATCAAGCAGTTTAGCAGTTTTTCAAGTTCAGTTTCAAGTCTTTAGTGCGTAACGCTCATCTTCTTCCCGCATTTTCAAAATCCTTTTATAGATTCATCAAAAAACCAAATCAAAGACATTCTCAAAGTGGCGCAAAACTCTGAAGTTGCTGAATATTCATTCTTTTCAAACGCAGTATTCATCAAGTGCCTGCTTAGAACAAAAAAGCACCAAGAATTGTGCAGATAACGAAAACATCTAAATGGGTCAAAAAGATTTTTGCAATACCGAAGAAGAAGATCAGCGAAGAAAATTCCGTTGTACATTTGGGAAAGGGCAGGCCCGTTTAAGTGTGAAAATTCGTCGCACTATCTCTCCGAAAGAGCGACTATAAATCAGCTCTTGATAAAATACGAATTTAGCACCTCGCTTACGTTAGTAAAGATAAGAGAACTTTAGCAAAAGACGCACATATGCACGCATGATGTTAGAAGACCCTGATAAGGTGATGGTTACGGCGCCCGGGACCAAAAATGAGAAGCAAAATCAAAACGAATACAATTATTATACAAGAAAAAAGTGTGGTTTGAAACCTAATCCAAGTGCGACTTACGTCACTAATCGCTTCATTTGATTTTTAAGTGAATGAATTACGACAGTGTATGGTACGGACACGGTATTTATACTCACAAATTCTGCCTAAAACGCAGAAACCCTGAAGCTAACCAGAATATTCATTGACACTCAGTGTTAAGCGCATTATCAGTCGTTGGTAAGTATGTTGATGACGCATTTGGCCAAATGCGATAGGCAAACTATGAACGCAAAGGTCACTGTGAGAACAAAGGTACGACTGGTTTGCATGAACAAACCTCATAAATTTTGGGTATGAGGATTTGGAGTGATGCGGATTTCAACACAAAATGTAAGAACTGGAAGCTTCTAGATTGCAACAGTCTCACACCAAAAAAAATTGAGAAATTCAACCTAAAACGTTTAAGCAATCTTTTCAATTTGCATGATATTTTTCCTTGTATAAAGTAGTACCCTTTAGATAAAAGGGACTGACGACTGGAAGGCGGGGCTTTGTGACCTAGTTAAGGCTAGAGAATGATTAGAGAGCACGAGCGCGAGAGAGACGCAGGCTGGTAGCGGGCGCGAGCGGCCATAATTAGGTCACAAAGCTCCGCCCCTTCCAGCCGCCAATCCATTTAAATCAAAGGTTACATGTAGAGTTATGATATATTATTTAACACAACTCAAAATTTTGTTTTAATGTAAATCCAAGATCACTCAAGGAGAGTGACAACTTTTTATAAAGACATCCAGTGTTTAAATTTATCCCGGCGATCAAAATTCATGAGATCACATGGCATTGCGATAAAATTTCAAAAAACTTTTCTACAGTGGTTTTCAATGCGTATTGGTTTTTTCTACCGTACGCCTTCCAGCCTCAACATGGCGTGGATTGGTGTGGATTGGTGTGGATTGGTGCGGCGCCGCCGACAAAAGCAACGCGGCGCAAACCCGAAGCGATGCGGCGCCTCACCAATCCATACCAATCCATACCAATCTACACCAATCCACGTCATGTTGAGGCTGGAAGGCATACGGTAGAAAAAACCAATACGTATTGAAAACAACTGTACGTTTCTGTTTATCAGCTTTTACTGCCTCGATATGACAATAATATTTTTCTGATGCAATTGATACCAAAAATCCCACGATTTCTCCCTCGATCATTGTTTCGTAAAGAATTGATTTGGAGAAACTTATGTTCCAAAAGTCTTGATGCATAAGGGTATACGAGGTTTCAAAAAAGCCCTGATTTGTTTGACCGCAAAAATAGAAAAAAAGCTAGAGCTCCCCAAAAAAGTAGCTTACGTTGATTCTCGTCACATAACCACCTTGGCATGAAAATAACGGAGTCATTAAAATAAAACACTTCCGTTTTCTTTTGTTGAACAGGCTCATTTTTGATTCCTACGCTTAAACACACATACAGTCTCGAGTAATTTTGCTAATGTGTACAACCGCACAATCCCCAAAAATGACGATAGATTGGCCGTCTTCCAGATAAGAAATACATGAAAAGTGATAATTCTTGCTTACAAACACGATTGTGCCGAAGCGAGGGAGAAACCAAGGTAACGAAAGGAAACATGGGCCCAATGGCGGGCTTTATCCTGTAAAAGGCGCAATTGCAACATTCCAAAGAAGACTTCTAGATTGCATGTTTATTTTTTGCGTCAAATAAAACGTCTAATAAGCACACGTCGTACTTGATCCACTTGATCCGCTTGAATCACTTGCTCTACTTCGCTATTGGTTGATTTACTGATCTACCAATAGCGAAGTTGGTGAAGTGGATCAAGTGGATCAATCATAGCGCGTGCCTAAGGCGATGCTATCTTGGAAAAGTGCAAAGGAACCAACAGTGACGTATAAGACGTCAAAAGAGTAGGTAAAGAGTGCAAAATGAGGAGAAGAAGCTGAGCAGAAACGACGACGAGGCAGTGCGAATCTGAGTGCGGCGGTTCCCCTTCGCAACCTCTATTCAACAGAGCCGTCACTGAATTTCAATGAGCTGTTTCTGCGCACATTCAGCACTGACAACGACTAGTCCCACACAGCCAATTCACATATGAAATTGTGCAAGCTTTTAATTCCAGTAAAGATTGCACTATGCAAAACATGGTTAGACTGAACAGTGTCATAGATTTTAAGTAATCATTTTGCGCTTCTTTGACGTCGCCTAACTTGTCATTATTGAGCAAATCTCGAAAAACAGATTTTTTTCAAAATTCTAGAAATTTGTTTTATATAAACTAGTGAACCAGTAATCGTAAAGGTACTTGATTTGCAGGCGCTTTCGCTGCGGGAGCGGCGCGGATTCCCGCAATTTCACCTTTTTTAGGCACAACGATTCTTTATGTATAGATTTATATACTAGAATAGATAGATAGAGAACTGCGCATCTTCCTTGTCGGCAGATAAGCCGAAACGCACGAATCTTTTCGTCTGATTAGGCTGTAAAGATGCTAAAAGGTCCAACAGATTCTGATTTTGATTCTGACTTTCACGTCGTGGCCTTTTTCAATAAAACTGACCGGATGTTTTTAGAAAAAGTTCAAAAAGAAGCTGCTTTGTTCTTGAGTTGTATTTTGAAAGACTTTGATCTGCATGATAAATTTCTATTTGCACTATAAACGATCCAAAAATACGATTTGTTGTAATGTGAAAGCTAAAATTGGGAAATTTCTCTTTTTATAATTGATTGACAACGATTGCATCGCTACGAATGCTAATCTCCAGAATTCGGAGCCGTGAGAAAACAAAAAAGAGCCACCGATAAACTATTCTGACGTCAATGACCGCAAAACAGCTGCATTGACTTCTAGCAAAGTTCTTCTTCTTCTTTATGGTGACTCGTTCTTGCATTAAGCAGCTAGATTCTTCAATCTTTCCCCGTACAACAAAGGATTATTTTCAAAATAGCAAAGCAGCTTATAGCCAAAGGATTACTCAACAAATCAATCAATCTGTTGAAGATAGGGAGAATTCTTTACTTAGACTTTCATACGACCAGCACTCTCAAATTCTCACTGCAAAAATCTCTTTGAAGAATGCGCTAATAAACTATGATGTTGAATGTTTCTGCACCCATAACCTCCTGCCATCGACGGGGCCCCTAAAGAAGTGGAAGACCCAGCTTTTGTACCCCACATACTCTACAATGTAAGTGATATGCAAAGGTAACCTGGACTAATAAATATTAACCCCATGTTCCTGCAGTGCAAAAAGCTCAGTAAAAAGATTTTTGTGTTTATAAAGAATATCATTGTACCGTTATAACAACAAAAACAGAGTTGATTTGTCAACTGAAATGATTTCTCACAAATCATTCAACTAAGAGAAAGTAAAACATACCACTAGGAACTATGGATCAAAATAGCAGCTATTTTTGTATAAATTTTATTCAAATCTAATCGTACCATGAAACGAAAAGTCAAAATTTCAAAATTCTGCCTGAAAAAGTAAACCCATGGTGTTTCGGCTTAGATACACCCACCCATTTGCATCCGAATATAGTTAAATTTTTAGAAAAAAAATAGAGTTATAAAAAATGCCATACAGGACTCACCCTGCTCACCTCGGACGACCATGTCTGTTTGGTGAGAACAGGTGAGGCGGTGGGAGAGGAGGAAGGAGGTCCGCTCGCCACCTCACACCGAAAATTGAACCGAAGCAGCACTGTAACAGCATGTATCAGTTGTCTTTAGAACCTATGGAACCCGCGAGAAAAACGAACAATGGAATCACAGAAGGCACTTGAGCGATCAAATGAGGCAAGATAAACAGCTAGAATGATTTATAAGAAAAGTCATTATGTCAACATATGACAGAAAGAAAACATGTAACCAGGGCGTTCATAATTTGAAGTTTCGCCTAAACCAAGAGAAAGAACTATTGAAGAGATGAACAGATTTATAAGCTTTGGATGACTGCAGAGATTATAGACCTCAGAAAAACCTCAGTTTCCCGGGACTGACAGTACATGGCTTGCTTCTTCATAATCAAAGGAACAATTCAGACGACTGGAAAATGAATTATCTGAAAAGTTTTACTTATAGCTTTTTTTGCGATAGAGGGGTCCAAGCTTGATCTGGTTCATTTCAGGAGTCTTTTGGGGGGTTTCGCTCAAATTGAAAGGGAAAATCAGAAATCTTTAAGAACATGAGAATCTCGCAGTCTCTAAGCGCAGTAAGCTTTCTAAACTTTGCAAACGGGATTGTCAAGTTTGAACTTAGTGTGCTTCAATCTAAAATCTGAAAAAAATGAAGACGGATAAATTTACAGTTTTGTAACACTACCCAAGTCCAGAGAAGCTTCAGCAAGAAGTAAGAGAAGGAATCGAGCAGCACAGTCCCTGGGATTTCCCATTGCAAATAGCTTAATTGACTGACATTTTCATGAAAGCCACCAAACCAAAAATTCAGACACCTTTGTAAATAAAAGATTCTATTGCAGAGAACCGCTTCTAATACGGAATGACGTGATGTGAAAAAAAACCCATTTTCGGGAATTCCCCTGGAATTCCGAGCGGTAATACTCCATAAATATTGGTGCAAGCATTGCATAGCCACATCATGGGAACCCTAAGATGAATAGTATACGAATTACTAAACTGACAATAACCTGTGGTCAGTCTGTGTAAGAAAGAACCTATATTGAACGCAGTTGCAGAAAAAACTATCTTCGTTCTGAAATCATGCTGCTGAAGCCTTAAGTAATGTTTATGAACGAAGGAAGCGGTGGATTTACGAATTTACGATGATTGTAGATTTAGATTTACGAACTTTATATGAGTGTGGACGCTATAATTAGATAAGTCCAGTTACTTTTTAAAATTTCTTTTTTTCTCCTGGAAACTGGCCAGCCCATCTATTCTATAAAACGACGACATCCAGTTGACAAGAATGTTTGTCTGTGACTAATAAGATGATCCAAGAAATGTCTTGGCTCAGCAATCCTCCAGAGGAGAATAACCTTAGGCGGAAGAACACAACAAATTTGGGGAGGCAACCGAGCAGATAAACAGAGCCTTGCTGCTTCACCGACAAAACAATGCGAACGAAATAAATGGGAAAATGCGTAAAAGCCGGTGAGGTTATCGTATGTCACAGTGATGAAAAACCTTGGAAAGTACATACATGGACAAACAAGAGATAAGTGCTCGCAAGGCAAAAAAAACAGCTGAAATCTAAAATTCTGACGTGCGGAAATATTTGAGTGGTGATCGATGTTCAGATGAAATAGAGTACAGATAGGCCGATATGAAAAGCGTGGGAGAAATGATGCCATACGAGGAAGATAATGTTGATGATTAAAAAATGCACACATTCAAAACTTCTGCCATTCTCGAAATTCTCGAAACAGATATGCTTTATGTCCTCAGGCCGTCTAAGAAAGCAGCTTATATAGTACACTTCAGACCGTTCAGGAAAGCAAGTTATATACATCTCCATGGAGTCATTACATACATCGAGAAGCTATAGCTAAACGACTATAACTCGATAGCAAAATTTTTACATGTGTCTGTTAGAACAAAATTTATGGCTCTTTTATGCTGAAATAAGCTTTCATAAAATCGTAAACTTAAAAGTTTCTGAGGGAAATTGACATATCTTCACTTAAGTTTATAGCAGCTTTGGGTAACTTAAACTCTACAAGAGAAGTCACTCAAGCTTTACAGCAATCACCTTTGTCTCTTCGAGAATTTTCCGAAGAGCTTCTTGAGTACCTGAGAAATGAGGAAAACGCTTTTTTGGTCACAGTCGAAAAGCAACTCTTCCTTACTGCAAACAAGGCAAGCTAATGGATAACAGCAAAAGCAAAACTGTGCATTCCTTCTTAATAAAAGAAATTATCTCTTCCGAAATGGCCTTCAATCTTAACCTTCATTATTCTGACAATGTGCTTGCAATTTACCATAAAACTGTGAGATTTGGTGAATGGAAATTGGATAAGCATGCAATGGAACCAAAATGAGTAATGCTGAATAATTCTCTTGATAATCTAGATAATTCAGAGATTTATGTCTGCTCTCTTCCTTATTGTTGGATTGCTATTTCCTCATATTGTTGACTGAGCAAGAGTTTAACGTTTTATCTTGTGATTCATTTCTTTTCTAATGCACCTTGCTGTTTTGGGAAACCTTGAGCGTTTTGGGCAAATACTGAATAAGATGGGCAATAAAAAAAAACGCACAAACGCCCCAGAGGGTCTTTAAGATGCCGAGTCCTCCATTCTTTATACAGTCTTAAATGAGCTAAAACACTGGAATTTATTAGAATGCGGGAAACATTTCTTCAGTATTATAGTGCAGTGATGATTACATTCAAAAGTGTGGGCAGCGTAGGAGAGAACAATCAAATTTTCAAATGAGGTAATTGTTCTGTATGATGATTGCACGAAATTAGTGTAGAAAGGCTAAACTCTTGCACAGACGCTTAAACGCGTGGTATAGAATTGACTGTTGATATAATGTCCCTGCGGTGTTTACAACATTTGCGCGGGAAATTTGGTCATTGTGCGCACAATTTGTTTGCGCGTCGTGGTCAACACGCGTTCTTGTTGGCGACGTTAGTGTACTAAACGTTCTACTAGACAATATAAACTTGCAGAAATCGGATAATATAAAAGACGAAGTGATGGTGAAAACTTCAAGGAGGTCGTCATTCGACGGTGAGCAGTGCATTACACTTGAAACAATCGAAGAAGAGACGAGATGACTGACTGACTGGCGCTCGGTGAATGCAGTGAAGCAGTCACACATACACATACACCGAGAGCACGGAGGGGCAAAAGCACGAAGAAGCAGCAGCGGGACACACGGACGGACAGCGGGATTGCGCGTTTTTATGTGCAGCTAAAACACCCTCATGAAGGAGATTCGCCGGAGCGTGAGAAAAACGTCGGCGCGCGGATTTGTGCCAACGGGAAGCCTGCGGGCGAGCGGCGCGGCGCACGGCGCCTCCCCCGCAGCCGGCGCCCCGCGCGTTATTAAGTACCCGTCATAATCCCAAAAAGAGACTGCTCTCTCCCGACTCGCTTCGACTCACTCAAGCACTCCGGGGGCCCGATGCCACTCAAGGGGGGAGGGAGATCAAAAAATTCTCTGATTTCACCCGACTCACATCGATATGAAGATGAGCTGATGAGGGAAAATGCATTGATTACTAGTGAAGTGAAGAGAGACTGTTGTCTGCATGCACGGCTATGCATGTTACAATGTGCTAATGTAACAACCACGCTTGAACAGCTGCCAGTAAAAAGAAACGCATTTCGAAAAGCTTCAAAACAGCTCCTCTTACATATCAGCTAAGTTCTAACACCTTTGAGTAACTGCGAAATGATATTACTTCACGGATTAGAGATGAGAAATAAGTGATGTATAGCTCAGCGAAATTTGGACTACATCGATGCTTTCGCACTATAAATAGTATTTTTTTGTACTTTTGACCTACCGCGAACTACTTCCCAAACCCTAAAATGGAGTCGCTTCTAAGTAAATATATGAGAGCATACCATCGAGAAGTGATACCCATACTTGCTTGACCTTATTTAAACTCAGAAAGTCCAGAACAAGAAGGAAGTTCTGGAGATTTTTCCACACACATACATAGGTATCTGCGCGAGGTGTGTATTACACATTATGAATTATGGCTCGACTGTACCAACCATTACGTCACCTATGGTCGAGTAGATTTTTCGTTTATTGTACTGTGCTTGCGATGCCGAGAAAACGCGTAAAATTTGCGCGTGAACAAAGCCACGCCTATGCTGCCGCCCACTTGCGCGCGCAAAACGCCGGTATTACTGGCATGGTTATTTGTTTACGCACAAATTTTACTTCATTTTCTCGAGACCGCAAGTAATCCTAGACCAGAGATTTTTTGGAATTTTGGTTCCTATTCCAAAGCAAATGCTTTCAACCTCTTTGGGAATCAAAATAAGACCTCTGCGAGATGCATGTGCTCTTTGGAGCTGCTGAAAACCGAGAGTTTTACCCTTTTCCGCCTAGACCACCCTCACTCTCTCTTTGATGTACAACAACAACCGGAGCTTGGTTCTAGATGACGAGAGGTCTCACTACTGAAATCTAAAGAATTTTCATGTGTGTGAGAGTCAAAATAATTATCGAGTAAGGACAACGTGAAAGAGTAATTTTTTTAAGGCAACTGCAAGAGATGAGAGCATTAGAATTCTCGACTTCCAGCACAAAATTATGCAAATGTAAAATCTCTCAACTACAAAAAACTTGATTCAAAACAACCACGCTTCAGGACCATGTTATCTTTATTTTATCATCTATTCATTAATCACAAGCACGTTGTTATCAGAGTACTCTATCTAAGCTTGAAGCATAGCTATGAGATTGCACGTCCTTCAACTGCTGCTCATATATGAATCCACGCAATTCAATTTATTATTTGCTTGCTTACTAAACAGCTGTGTCATCAAATGCAATCAACATTATATGAGGCCAAAGGCCCACTCAAAAAATATATAATTTTTTCAAAAATATAACACTTTGGTCACAAGTGTAAGTTTTCCAAAGAATGAAGTTCTTTGATGCCTCGCAGAAGAAATGTGGCATCTTCACCGTTAACTTTTTTAACCAGAACAAAACCATGTGTTCATCACGCTGCTTTTTGCATTTGTGCAATGAGAGGTTTAAAAGCAGATGG